AGATCCAGACCTGACTTCTCTCACCTACACTCTGGACAGCCTGTCACTGGGTCTTCTGTAGATGGTGCTTGAGTAAAAGTTAATGCTAATTACTTAGTTGTCATAGTCTAGTGAGGCTGCCACTGTCATCGTAAATAAACTGGACCCTGTTTCTCAGGCTCCTTTCTGCATCACTTATTGTTTTGTGCTCCCACCAGGTCCTAGCCTGTAACAGATGCCAGGTGGCTAATAGCGGGAGCATGACTTTCTCGTCAGGGCAAACCCCCAGAATCAACAAATAGCCTAGATCCTGTCCAACAGGAGCTTAACACCCGACACCAGGAAAGTGGCAGCCCCTCCTCTCCCTCAGCCCTACCAGAGAAACCAGAGCAAGAGACTGGCCCGCCCCATCATCCCTGGGAGCCAGGCGCTCTCAGCCTATGTGAGGGCTTGTGCTCAGTTAAGGCCTACATCTCCCTAACACCCCCTCAACTCCCGGATGTGGGGCGCGGCCCTGTGGCAGGACACCCTCTTGGATCTGGGGCTCTTGGGAGTGCATTTCAAAGTCCAGGAAGAAGGAAAACCTTTTCCTGTTTTATCTCTTCACCTGGATTAAAGAGACTGCATTGGGTAGAGGAGAGAGCCTGGCACTGGCATGAGACCTAGGTTAGAATCTTGGCTCCATCCTCAGAGCCAGCAAACCCTTGTGAGTGTGTGCAGAATTCCTGTGATTTTTTTAAATAGGCAGCCTTGCCCAAGGGAGATGCATCACAATGACCAACTGAAACATATATATGTAGTTCATACAGTTACTCTCTTTAAATAGTATATTACTTGGGCTACTTCAGTGATATACACCTTCTCCCTGTCACTGAAAATTGTAACTACAGTAAGACACCACTGCCAACAAGATGTATTCTATCTCTCAGGTGTTTTGAAGAGGGGAAGAAACTATTGGGCAAGAAATCTCATGACTTTAAAAACTTGGCTGAGTGTTAGAATCACCTGAAAAGCTTAAAGAAAATGCTGATTTCCAGGACCCACCCCAGACCAATTCAGTAATTAAGTCAGAATATCTGGCGGTGGGTCCCCCAGGTTTTGGTATTTTCTGAAATCACCCCCAGGTGATTGTAAAAAGCACATCACACTAGCTGAGCCACCTCTCGAGGCACTTTTGACTGTAGTTCCAGGGCCTCGGCTATGAGATAGAGAAGCGTTTGTGTACACACCTATTCACACCATTACTTCATGTTTTAAACCCACTTTCCCATTCCTATTCTGGTTGACTGTGTCAGAGCCCTGATCCCTGTCCAGGGTTCAGACTTTCTGACAAATGACATTATCTTTCAGGATATGCTTTCGTTGCCAGCCTTCACGCAGGAGGCAGTTCGCAGCGCCTGCCACTGGAAGGAAAGAGGTGAGGGAGCTGCTGCCTGTGGCTGAGCTGGGTGAAATGCACAGAGCAGTGGGCTTGCTATTGTGTACGCCACCTTGACCTTGAGTTGTCACGGAATAGAAAAAAAGGTGAGTTTAATAACAATATTATTCTTTTTTAAATATAACTGGGCTTCAAAAACAGTGAATTCAAACAATGAAATACATAGAAATACTTTGAAAGAAAATAAATTTTTTTAACCTCGATTGGATGCACTGGGGATTCGCTATCACTTTATAACAGATTACCCCAAATCTTAGTGGTTTACAACAACAATCATTTATTTTCTCCTATGGTTTCTGTGGGTCAGGAATTCAGACAGCCCAGCAAGGACAGCCTCCGCCAGGGGCCGGAATCATCATCAGGCTTGTTTCACTCACATGTCCATGGTTGACACTGGCTATTGACTGGAACACCCACATGTGGCCTCTCCACGTGGCCTGGGCTTCCTCACAACATGGTGGCTGAATCCCAAGGGTAAGTGTGCCGACAGTGGGGAAGCCAGACTCCCTATTGTCTTTAGGACCTAGCCCATAAAGTCATGTAGTGTCATTTCTACCATTTGGCTGAGGCACTTAAAAAGGTCCCCTCAGGCTCAGTGGGAGGGAACACAAACCTGCACTTCTTTAGAAGGAATCCCAACATCAAATTGTAAGAAGAGCATATGGGAAATACAATCTGCCTCACATTGTGTTTTAATTTTCTTATTCACCCCAACCCCTCCAGATTCCAGAGTAACATATGCTCACTGCAAGGAAAAAAAATTAAATAACAATCCAGAATTGACTGGTTTAGTGGCTCACGACTGTAATCCCAGGACTTCAGGAGGCTGAGGCAGGAGAATTGCCTGAGACCAGCCGGGGCAACAAAGAGAGACCCTGTCTCTACCACAACAACAACAAAAATTCAGAATTTATACACCAAAGTCTATACTTTACTTGCTATCTCAATCACTCTCTGGAGATAACCACTATTAACAGATGGATGTGTATTTTTCTATACAAACCATATATATATATGGTTCTCTCTCTATATATATATGGTTTGTATGTATATATACACACACATATATATGTAAAAGCAGTATATGTATATACTACTTTTTAAAAAACAACACTATGCATTATTCTGCAATTTGCTATTTATTATTATGTGATGAACAGAGTTCCATGTTAGTACATAAATAAATACCTAATTCTTTCTTTCTTTCTTTTTTTGAGATAGAGTCTTGCTCTGTCACCCAGGCTGGAGTGCAGTGGCATGATCTTGGCTCACTGAAACCTCTACCTCCCAGGTTCAAGCGATTCTCCTGCCTCAGTCTCCCGAGTACCTGAGATTACAGGTGCCCACCACCACACCTGGCTAATTTTTGCATTTGTAGTAGAGACAGAGTTTCACCATGTTGGCCAGGCTGGTCTCAAATTCCTGACCTTAGGTGATCCACCTGCCTTGGCCTCCCAAAGTGCTGAGATTACAGGAGTGAGCCACCTTGTCCAGCCAGGATACTATTTTTAAACATGAGTGTTTTTTATTAAAGGTTAGTGTCATTGTTATAAGAAAAAATCAACATTAAGGAGGATATTTTTTTTTCTTTGCAAAGGGCAGGTTTCTTAACACAAAAAAAACAAATAAATTTGTTCTGGGTTTAAAAGATGCTTTTAAGCTTTGAAGGAAACTTGTCATTTATTTAGAAAATGATGCGTGACAGGAAGTAGGTGGTTATAAAGTGAGAGGTGGATTTCCTTTTCTAATGTTTTTAACTCAGGCTAATATGGAATTGAATGTGTATTCTTCAAAATTCATGTTGACACTTAGAGGGAGGCTTATCGGAAGGTGACAGTGAACAGGAAACCAGCTTGAGGCAAAAAAAAGTATCATATATGACCCCCCAAAAGTGAATAAGAAAAATGACTTTGCTGGTCATACTGATGAATATATAGAAGTACAGTCAGACCTTCATATCTGTGGATTTGACCAATGGCAGGTCAAAAATATTTGGTGGCCGGGCACGGTGGCTCATGCTTGTAATCCCAGCACTTTGGGAGGCCGAGGTGGACAGATGATGAGGTAAGGAGATGGAGACCATCCTGGTTAACACGGTGAAACCCCATCTCTTCTAAAATACAAAAATTTAGCCAGGTGTGGTAGTGCACACCTGTAGTCTCAGCTACTTGGGAGGTGGAGGCAGGGGAATAACTTGAACCCGGGAGGCAGAGGTTACAGTGAGCTGAGATTTTGCCACTGCACTCCAGGCCAGTGACAGAGCCAGACTCCATCTCAAAAAAAAAATTTGGTGAAAAAAAAAAAAAGGATGGTTGCATTTGTACTGAGCATGCACAAATTTTTCTTCTAAAATTATTCCCTAAATAATATAGTATAACAACAATTCACATAGGTGTTTTTTTGTTTGATTATTTGTTTGTTTGTTTTAAGACAGGGTCTCACTCTGTCACTCAGGCTGTAGCGTAGTGGTATGATCACAGTTGACTACAGCCTCAACCTCCTGGGCTCAAGCAATCCTCCCACGTCAGCCTCCCAAGTAGCTGGGATTACAGGCATGCACCACCATGCCAGCTAATTTTAAAAATTTCTTTTGTGGGGACAAGGCTCTCACTATGTTGTCCAGGCTGGTCTCAAATTCCTGGGCTCAAGCGATCCTCTCACCTTGGCCTCCCGAAGTGCTGGGATTACAGGTCTGAGCTACTGTGCCTGGCCTTGAATTAGGTATTATAAATAATCTGGAGATGACTTAAATACATGGGAGGATGTGTATAGGCTAAATGCAAATACTACAGCATTTTATATCAGGGATATAAGCATCTGTGGATTTGGGTATCGGTCAGGGAGCCTGGAACTAATCTCCTACAGATGCCAAGGGAATCTGTCCACCTTTGTTCACAGATGGCAAATCTGTAATTTTTTGGGGGGGTCTTTTTTTTCTGGCAGAGATGGGTTTATTAAAAACTTCTTTGCTGGGAATGAAATTCTGACACATGATGCAAAATGGATGAACCTTGAGGATATTATGCCAAGTGAAGTAAGCCAGTCACAAAAGGACAAATATTGTATGATCCCACTCACGTGAAGTATTCAAAATAGGTAAATTCATAGAGATGGGAAGTCAATGGAGGGGCAGGCGACATGGGGAGTTAGTACTTAGTGGGTACAGAGTTTCTATCACGGATGATGAAAGTTTTGGAAATAATGGGGGATGGTCGTACAATATTGTGAGTGTAATTAATGCTGCTGAATTGTATATTAAAATGGTAAAAATGGCAAATTTTATGTTCTATATCTTCACACACGTCTTTGCTGGAGCAGAAGCGAGAGGTTAGGTTCTGTCAGTGTTCCCACGGCTTTGCCTTCCCTTTTGTTTTTAAAAGAACAACCTCTATTTTTAGAGATTTTCACACAAAGGCTTGTGGGCGTGGGAAGTTCTCCCAGCTGCCCTCCTGTTTCTCAGAAGCCCACATGGAAGCCTCGCAAGTTATTTAAGATTTAGGAAATATGCCAGATTGGGAATGGAGATAATTTAATCTCTCTGTATGTTAATTTCGGTGTTTTTTTTTTTTTTTTTTTTTTCTGCAACGTGAGGCCCTGGAAACCTTACTTCACCCCTAGGAAAGGCAGTTCTGGGTTTTGCTGAAGGGAGTTAGGGGAATTCACCCTACACAGCATGCCCAGAACACTTTCCTGGCAAAAGCAGTTCCACCCTCAGACCTGGGGAGTCACCTGATCACGCAGCCAGGTGCATACGGAGACCCCCGGTGCCGGGGTCTCGGTCAGCTTGTCCAGATGCTTTTTGGCACCTGCGCAGGAGGCTGCGGGTTTCCCTGCACCCAGGGCGTTCTTAGTCCTGCGTGCAGTGCTCACAGCTATTCCTCAGAGGCTCACAGTGTCGCTCCTGTCCCTGGCCTCATGGTCCCGGGGCTGGGCATTTCCGCTGGTGTCACTGTTGAGTGGGGAGCGGCCGTGGCTGGTCACGTGGAGCCCGTGGGCTTGCGGCCCCTACTCCCGGTTTCCCACCCGGCCCCGCCCCTACCCAGGTGAAGGTTCTCGTCCAGGCAGGTGCGAAGGCCCGACCCTTGCGGAGGGAAAGCCTCTGCAGCTCCTCCTCTCCACCTAGACCCGAGACTCCCCGTGCTGGCGTAACAGGGGTGCGCCCGCCAGGACTGGACAGCTGGGACCCGCGCAACCGAGCCGGGGCAGCCACGTGGCGGCGGGGCGGGGACCGGGCGGGCCGGGCGCTGGAAGCTGGCTGTCTCGGGAGCAGGTGAGGACGGAAGGGCTGTGGGGGGTGGAGAGGGTGGTCTCCGGACTGTTACTCTCCCCGGAAGTTCCGTGGCCCGCGTTAGGGGCAGGTCTGGGGTCACCTTTGCCCCCACCTCCCGGCCCAGGTGGATCCTCTCCTGCCGCCGGCCACCTGTGCGCCCGCACACGGGCCTGCCCCCAGAACTTGGGGTGAGGGTTCGGTCTACGTAGGGTGCCAGGGGGCTCGGGTCCCAGCGCAGCCCAGACGCGAGGGTCGAGGCTCCGCGGGGCGGCGGGAAGGGCGGGCGGCAGCCTGGGATCCCTAGCTCTATGCGGCGCGGGCAGCCGGGGACACCTGGGCGCTTTGGGCCCCTACCTTTCGCCCTATTTTGTCAGGAATGCAGCCCATCAAGTCCCCCAGCTTCCCCCTGGGCAAACGCTGCTCCCCCAACCCTCAACTCTTAGCGCTCAGGGAGCCTTCCCTCCTCGCCAGCGCCGGCTGCTGTCTTTAGTCGCCTTCTTCCCAGGACAACCAGCTCTACCCCTCAGCCTTGCTCTCTTCCTCCCGCTTCCTCCTCCTCCTAAAGTGTCCTGAGCCCCGTCTTGCAGCACTTTGCTGGGGAGAGGGGCCACACAGATCAGGGGACAAAATCCCCGCCCCAAGGGAAGCCAGGTCCAGCGCGAAGGGGAGAGTGCCTGGGGGTGGGATGGGGAGCTGCCCTGGTCCTGGCCGGCTTTTCTCGCCCACCGCCCACCGTCTTCACTCCCCTGACCTTCTCCGGCCCTGCTCCAGAGGGGCCTCAAGACAGCCTCCTCATGGCCCCTCTTTCCTCTGCTCATGGCGCAGCTACATTCACTCACCACCTGCAGCCAGGTCTAGTAAGTCATGGTGCCCTCGGCCTAGACAGCCAGGCCCATGAGGCACCTGGAGGTGGGAAAGGAGTGTGACTCTGTGTCCTCAAGGGCTGGGCAGCCCAGCAGCCGGCCCTGACTCTCACATGCTGAAGGAGCTCAGGGAAAGAGAGCTGGGAGTGCCTGAGGCTTTAGGGCAGCAAGGTTCCAGCACAGGTGGGCTCTGAAGGACCAGCGGGATCTATTTGGGTACCAGAAAGGTAACCCAGCCAAGCTTCCAGATGAGGTAGACAAGACCCCTCCTCACTCAGCCAGGTAGTTTGAACAATTCGGATAGAGAGAAAGAATAGACAACAAGGAGAGAGGAGAAAAGGAGCCAGCCTGACCAAGGATGGTGTTACCTTCCAGAGGGGTCTCCCCGCCAGACCACCAGGATCCCCGTTTGCTGGAGAATGACCCAGATGCCCCAGGTGCAGGAGCTCTTCCATGAGGCAGCCCAGCAGGTAGGCCTGGCATGTGCGGGGGTCTGTGATGGAGGCCTGTGAGCACGGGGTCCCCAGACAGAGGGCTGGATGCAAACATCACAGTGCACCCTTTAGATGTGATTATCCCCAAACTCTATTGTGGTGGTCCAGTTTAATGAGAAAATATTATAGCTAACTCTTAACCATTCATACACAGAAAATCTTTGGCATTATTTGCAGTGGATTTTGAATCCTGGGCTCCCCCACAATCCCAAACCCTGTCTTGTGAGGTCTTCCATGGACAGTCCCAGTGAGGACTCAGAGAATATGAACTTATTTTAATTCTGAATCAAACCAATGTAAGGTGGTAAATTTACTTCTGAAAATCTCTTATGTTCTGAAGCCAAATGGATTTCTGGATGCCCTGGTATTTTCTGTTTTGTTTTTTTCCTTTATCTTCTCCTTGCTGATCATTAATTACAGTAAATATGCATTCTGTTGATATGGAATTGAAGTGGTTCTCCCCAGAAATAGAGAGCTGGGTGCAGTGGCTCACACAAATCCCAGCACTTTGGGAGGCCGAGGTGAGTGGATCACAGGGTCAAGAGATCGAGAACATCCTGGCCAACGTGGTGAAAACCCATCTCTACTAAAAGTACAAAAATTAGCTGGGAGTGGTGGTGCAGGTAGTCCCAGCTACTCAGGAGTCTGAGGCAAGAGAATCGCTTGAACCCATGGGGGCAGAGGTTGCAGTGAGCCGAGATCATGCCACTGCACTCCAGCCTGGGCAGCTGGGTATTTTGAGATGAGGAAAAAAAAAAACCATATTAAGGTGTTTATCCAGAAACTCCTTACCCAGGGTCTTTGCCATCCATGATGACTTGACATGAAGTTTTCACCATCCCTTGGACTTCTGCCCTGCTTTCTAGAGAGGAGCAGGAGGGTTTCCCAGCCTTACAATAGGGGAACAAGCCCCACTAGAGGGGAGAGAACCAACATGAAAAAGAAATGGAAAATGTGAGGCCCCAGGGATTCCCAAAGGAGAGACAAATAAGACATTCTGGGTTCTCCCATGAGAGAATCTGTTCCTGTCTCCCCTGTTTAAAACCTTCCATGTCTCCTCATGTGCACCACTCAGGGCTCAAGCTCTTCAGCCTCAGCCTTACACAATCTGACCCCACCTGAGTCTCAAGTTGGGTTTCCCACATCTTCCTGTCACACCTTCCAGCCAAACCACACCATTCCCCAGGGCTTATATGTTTCCCTTGATCTTTGCTGATGCTTCTTATCAACGATTCGCCCTTGAAACCTTCACCCAAGGCAGTACCTGGTATTTAAGTGGACAGTAAATGTTAGTTAATTGACCACATGAACAAACAACAGATAACTACAATGCAAGTTAAATTGTCATAAGTGCCCTACAAGAGAGTTGGTTTCTAAAATGTAATGGATCAGTGACCTCTGTCTCCTTCTCCCTTAATATCTAAACAGTGAAGAATTAGACACTGCCCAATGCCCAATTTTAAGGCCTTTGGTGTTCATAATTTAGAAATCCATCCTTTCATGAGTTCATGTCCTTTGCAAGGACATGGATGAATCTGGAAAACGTCATTCTCAACAAACTGACACTTGAACAGAAAACCAAACACTGCATGTCCTCACTCATAAGTGGGTGTTGAACAATGAGAACACATGGACACAGGGAGGGGAACATCACACACTGGGGTCTGTTGGGGGGCGGGGGGTAGGGGAGAGATAGCAGGGGGTGGGGGGATTGGGGAGGGATAGCATTAGAAGAAATACCTAGGTGATGGGGGGATAGTAGGTGATGGGAGTATGGAGGCAGCAAACCACCGTGGCATATGTATACCTATATAACAATCCTGCAATATCTGCACATGTACCCCAGAACTTAAGGTATAATAAAAAAAAAAGAAATCCATCCTTTCTTTCTCTCTCCCTCCCCTGCACTGTCTTGTTAAGGGTACCATTTCTTGATTGGATGATTCGTACTCTCCTAACTTCTTTTCCTACATTGCTACTAAAGTGATTCTTTTATGAAGTGTTAAGTCTGTGCATTTGACCCCTGCTTAAATTCCTTCAGTAGTTTCTCACTGCCTTCAGAATTCAGCTCAGATTCCTCATCTTGGCCCCCAGGACCCTCAGTGATGGTTAACTCACCCCTTCTGTTCCCACAGCATCTTGTATCACTACGCTTACCATGTAGCATTGAAGTGAGCTGTTTCTTTTCTGTCTCCCTTAAGGCTGTGAACTTAAATTCAGGGGCCTGTCTTATTTATTTTTGTGTCCCCAGTGCCTGGCATGGTGGGTGGTGCATAGAATATGCTCTGTCGGCATTGGTTCTACTGAACTGAACTCACCTGACTAGGAATCCGGTGAGCTGCCATTTGCATTAAGTCTTAAAGTAATGGTGGAAGTGGAACATATGGCAGACGTGGGAAGCATATTCTGGGTGGGAGGGTGAGAAAATCGATAATAGCTACCAATTATTGGGCACTTACTGTATACCGAGTACTTAATATACGTTACCTCATTTATCTCCACTACAGCATTCTGAAGTTGATATGATTACTTTGGTGTGGCAGATGAAGAACTGCAGCACTGTAAAGCCAGGCACGTTTGATGCCAAGGCCCAGGCTTTCATCCTGTTTGCTATGTGCCTCCTGCTCCAAATGGCATAAGCAAAGCCACCCAGATGGTCAATCAAGGGCCTCTGGGGGGGAACAGAGAGTAGGTTAGGTGGCTAACATGCTGGAATCTGAACTCTAGGAGTGGCTGTCCCTCAAGAAATTTCTGTGAACCTTTTAAAAATGTTATTTCAGCCTTGGGGATTGGAAATTCTGCTCAGAGACTTGGGGCCTGCAGAACCCAAGATTAGGAGGCAGTGCCCAGTGGGAAGACAGGCTGGTGGGTGTCATGCCACCTTCAGTGTTGACCTGCTCTTCTCTTGCTCACAGTGGTTATAAAGTAGCTCACAGGAAGTTTGGCAAGGGCGGGGTCACTTGGAAGTTAGGTGGAGGGGTGAATGAATGGATTCTCGGTTTGGCTTTAATCATTTTAGGACCACATAGGGCAGCTGTGTGTGTGTGTGTGTGTGTGTGTGTGTGGTGTATAGTGGGAGGAGCTGTAGATCTGAGTGGTAAGGTGTGGTTGTCCAGGGCGCATGTGATGCCTGCATCAAGCCCTCCCTGGCTCTAATGCTTTGTAACCTTGAACAAGTTTTGTAACCTCACTAAGCTTCCATTTCCTCACCTGTAAAATGACTGCCCAACCATTGAAACTACCGTAGAGTAGGAAGACAATTAAAATAGATAATTTGTATAAATATTTGGTATAGTGCTTGGTTCCTGGTCAGCATTCAGTAAATGGCTAATAATAAAACTAAGGTGGGGAGTATGTATTTAATCCACTGGGTACTGGTACAAATGAGCAGAAGGATCCATTGGCAAACAAATGCATGACTCAGCACAGCTGAGTCAGAAGACCTAAGGCGGAGTCTCAAACCTAGAATTATACCTTTGGCCAACACCAAAATGTGAGATATTGTTCTGGATACCTGCTGGGTGGGCAGTCTGTTGAGGAGGACGGGTGCTTTCTAGGCCTGGGTGAGTCTGGAGTGGTTTGGGAATTAGAGTGTGTGTTTGGAGACCCACGGAACTGTGGCAGGCTGAGTCTTGTTCCAGGGGCCTCTGTCTGGAGGCACTTTGGTGGTAGACTCAAACCTGGGTTCCGGGTTCCTCATTGTGACTGTGCCGCTGGATAGGTTGGGCCCTTGGGCAAGTTACCCACAGGCTCCCAGTCTATTTCCACAACTATGTGATGGAGTGAGTGGACCTGATTCTCAGGGTTTTTACGAGCCTAAAGGAGATGCCATATGTGGAAGGGTCTGGCCCAGTGCCTGTCACATGACAAGCTCTAAGTAAAATGCTCGTTTGATGATTGGCTGAAGCTGACTTCACATGGAAACCCAGCGGAGTAGGCTGGAAAACTAAGAAAGGAGCAGCTGTGCAGAGGGAGGTGAGTTGAAGGCTAACAAGCAGAGATTGCGCGCTTGTCTCTGCCAGGTACTGGACAGACAGGACTGTGACGATCAGGGTGTTTCAGGAGATGAAGTTGGCAGGAGAAAGCAGGTAGCCTGAGACAAGAACAGAGGGCAAGCCAACAAGCTGTGTGGAGGTCTGAAGTCCAGCAGAATCTCATTCTCTTAGCATTGGGAATAGGGAGAAAATTTGGTTTCATTTACCAGGTGTTTATTGAATGACGGTTCTTGCCAGGATCTCCAGCTCCTGCTAGAGATACTAAAATAAATACAAAAACAACAGCAATCTCCTAGTTCTTATGGAATAAGAAGTGCCTCCAGCTAGCCAGCTAGTCTTCCTTCTCTCAGGTGGAGGGTCTCAACAGGAAAGGGAAGCTGGCCTGAGAATGAGAATCACTTGAACCTGGGAGGCGGAGGTTGCGGTTAACTAGCACACTGGATTCATGCTCTTTCTTCTGCGTTCTGCTTTACTCCAGAGACTTGAACTGTAGCAGTAGTGGGTCCATGTAGACCCTTTTCTAGGAAGTCTGTAGGCCAAAGTCTGGCTAATTGCTCTAGAAAAATCCCGCTGCAGACCATGGGTGTAGGCGTCCCATCAGAACCATTGTGTCTGGCCCAAGCGCTGAAGCCTGCCTGGGTTCTGACTCTGCTCCCTGTCTTCTGTACAATGTCCCAGCTCTTTCCCTCTGTGTCCTCTCCTCCCTTGCTCTCTCGTGGTTTGGATCTGTGTCCTCACCAAATCTTCTGGTCAGTTGTAATCCCCAGTGTTGGAGGTGGGGCCTGGTGGGAGATGATTGGATCATGAGGGTGCTTCTCATGAATGGTTTAGTACCACCCCCTGATGCTGTTCTGATAGTGAGTGACTTCTTGTGAAATCTGGTTGTTTAAAAGTGTGCTGGCTGGGCACGGTGGCTCAGGCCTATAATCCCAGCACTTTGGGAGGCCAAGGAGGGCGAATCACCTGAGGTCAGGAGTTTGA